TGAGTAAAAACAATTAGTAACACTCAATCGTAGTATGACGAACAAGATATCGATGTATACTCTCGAGACTTACTTTGTGGGAGAAGATGGAGATGGCGAAAAAATTGTATTTCAAATCCTCAGAGAAGATGAAGATGACGCGGATTTATAGAACCGGAACGGTTATCAATTTGGGCCGAAAATTGTTAATAATCAATTCCCCGAAAAAAATAATCTTGATGGACTTTTGGTCCAATTGCCCAAGCCCGGCCCGGCTCGGCTCGGTTCGACACGCGTGTGGGATTCCCCTCCTCTCACATTTGGTCCATAGATGTGTTATGTTATGAATATAGATACATGAGTGACCATATATATCTTACATGAAAATTTTCCAAACTTTAGATGTGGGACATTTTACATGTCATTCACTTAATAACCAAAAGGCTTTTCCCATTCACTTTTCTACCAATTTTGCATAACACAAAAACCCAATACAAGGTCCATTTGTTTATTCCAAAATTGGTTCCAACAGTATCCTCATGGACTCCAATGTTGGAGATGGCTGGTAATGGAATTAAAGACCTCCCATACTCTTTTAGTCTTCTTCAAGTCTTCAGTAGCTTTAACTATGTTTTCTATGGATGCTCTTGGGATAAAAAAAACTCTAACTTTGTTGGTTTCTTTTCTCCCTAACCTGTTTAGCTCTCTTTTCTACTGATGCCAATTTTATGGCGGTATCTCCACAAAGGCATCACATATTCTTCCCTTGCCTAAGTTAAGATATGTTCTTTTCTAATCTTGAGTCTTGAACTTAAAACTCATGTTTCTATAACTGTCTGTATACATACTGAGCTACTGATGCTTTGTTATTCTTTGCGTATATACACTATTCGGTATTTTCATTCTTCACATGCTTAATTCAAAGGGGGGCTCAAAAGACTTACCGGTAAGCTACTGGATAAATCTTGTTAGAGAAAAGTTTTTAGAGAACTTTTGCATGCGATCAAGTACCTCAATATCTTTACCATTTTTATGTTGGTACATGGTTATAAGTTTCAAGAAATAAAATTCGTACAAGGCTTATCAACCATTTCTTTCTCGAAAACGCCTAAATATACATCTCAGGTTTCTAATATGTGTACCTCAATATGTTTACTGTTTCTGCTTCCTTTTTTTTAATCAGGTACGGTAAAACTAAAACTTTTTAAAAAAATCAATAAGATAATAGGTAGTCTAAGGCCATGTTCAATGGTGAATCTTAGTAGAAGTTCTTAAGGCAAAAGTGATTAAAAATAAATCAAAATTGGTTGTTATATGAAAAATCGGTCTTTAATTAAGGTGTTTAAGATCTGGGCTTTACCAAACACGTGGCTGGCTTTGATTCGGTGATAATTTTTTTTTTGACAAAAGAAAAAAAAACAAAGACGCGTGAACGCGTTTTCTCTACTTCATAAAAAA